AGGAAAATTGGACTGTTTGATTAATCATCTACAAATAATTAAAAGTGACTTGTTGCTATTTAGGGCGTGTTCGGTAGACATTAAAATCGGATTAAAATTGAAAAATTAGTTATTATTGTTGACTTTTATTAGACGAGTGAGATTCAATAACGGCTATATTTTCGATTTTAATTGGATTTTAATCTTTACTAAACGAGGATTAAATCTTCAACATATTTATATTACAATTTTTCCAATTTGTAAAAACGTGTAGATTCGGGGGGAAACATACGTGTTAATTTCTTATTGGCTGGTCATATTATTTCAGGTGAATGTTCCAACAACATGAATCATCCTAGGGTGTAATAAAAGGATTTTTCTGAGTGTACAGAACTGTACACTTACAGAGGAAAACCAGAAGTGACACAATGGGGTGGGTCCCATTGAATTTTAAATTGAAAAAATAAAACCACCCACCCCGTGCATGTGTGTGTCTGTAAGTGTTCTGTAAATGGGTTTTCTGTGAGTGTAGCACAGCTCGTAATAAAATGGGCCACCGTTTCAGTGAATCTCACTCTCTCTAAAAGAGACGGATCCTCCTGAAGCAGTGAGCTAAATTGTTCTGTTTATGGACCCCACTATGACATCATGGTCATATCCCACTGTTTCTCTCTCCCAATCCTTTTCTTTTATACTTGTTAGAATTTAATTTCAATATAGTTTATATAATTATAAATTGCTGAATTTTATAAAATTTATAGTTCAAAATACATAAAAATTTATGGATTCAAAGAAATTTGTGATTAAAGATAAAATTAGATTAACTTATAATTTCAAAAAAGTTTTGTCAATCAGAGAATAATAAGTTTAAAAATCTAAAGAATTTCAATTTTCTCCTTGAATGTAAGAATATAAATATGTTAAAAATATAATTTGTATACAAGCTCATGACATGGTTTTATTTACCCTCGTTAGAAATTCTAGTCACTATCGAAAAATAAGTATCTAAGAAAATTGAATGTTCATCTACGAGTTGCTTAACCTAAGAATTTCAAATATTCAACTTTTTACGATGAGATGTACCACCAATTATTTTTTTCCAAGAATTTCAAATACTAAACTTTTTACACTAAGATGTAACACCAATCATTTTTTTCTTAAAACAATGGAATGTATTATCACTTTGTCGTGTTTGCTATATCCAATATTGTGTCGGACATTTAGTTTACATAATAACGGTATAAACTGTCTGGTCATGTGCTTTTATACATTTCCTTTGTTGTATTATGATAAGCAATTAAAAAAAAATTCGAATATTCAATTTGTAAATTCTTAGAAATATGAACATTCATTAATGTAATTTTCTTTATAAAAAAATAAAATCTATAAAATATTTAACAAAGAAAAACCATTTAGTTATAAAACACGTGCGGTTTAGTTTCACATTCCGACAAAATGCCTTGCATGTTTACAGCACATAGAACCCTAGTTTCTACGTGTCCAAATAACAATGCCTCGTACTCTCATGGGTCCCACATTACACACTTCCTTGAGCATAACCCCATCTATATATACGGCCTCACTCCACCCTCCTAGCCGCACCCTAAATTTCTCACAGAACACAAAGTACACACAGGAAGGAATATATAGGCTGTAAATTTCTCACTTCGCTGTTTCTCTCTCTAAAGAGTAAATCCTGGAAAAAATGTTTGGTCGCACACACACCATCCCCATTAATCCTCAAACTGGAGCCACAGGATCAGCGTTTAACAAAATCTTCATTCCTCAGTTTGATCGCTATGCAGTTAATGGCGTGCTGGGTCCCGAGCCGATTTCTTGGGTCTGCCGGACCAAACACCGGCAGAGATGGAGATGAAGGTATGTTTACATTTTTTCTTTCTTGTTCTTTTGTTCTCTGCTTATCTGTTTGGAAATGAATGATAATTGACAGATTTGCCATGAATTTTGCAAATGTAGTTAGGCTTACGATGTTAAGAAATGTTGAAAATTTAACAAGGGATTCTGAAACTTGGTTTCTTTTTTATCTTTCTATTAAATAATTACCATTCATTTAAAAATAAACTAGAATTGAAAATCAGGCTTTTCATTTTAAATTCAGTCAAAGTGTAGTTGTAGAAAAATATTCTCCAAGCTTAACTGTAATTTTAGTGAAGCGTACGACGTCGGAATGTCCCAAAAACTAGGCAGAGTTCACAAAATGGCTTGAAGGATTAATTCATAAATGGCAGGAATTTTGAAACTTGATTTTATAAATTTTCCTTCTGAAGAATTATAATTAATTGAGAAAATAAGCAATAGTTGAACATCAGACTTTGGATTTTAGATTCAATCATATAGTTGTAGAAATTTTTACAAGAATGGTTTCTAGTGCTAAAACACCATTTTAAATTTCTGAGTTCATTAATTAACGGTAACATGAATTCAATTTTTAAATTTATTACCTTATTTATAAAAATATATTTCTTTTTGAAAATTGATTGCAACAGAATAATTTTGTTAAAAGAATTAATGTCATAACTTTTTCCTAAATTTTTTAAAATTAGTAAGTCTGCAAACAATGAATTTATAGTCACCAATAATGCAAACAATGAATTTCAGAACCTTTGTAAATAGATGGGAAGGCAGCTTTTTATCATGCAGTACTTCTATTCCTATGTTGCACAACTGGATTAGTACCACTGGCTAATTAGTTTCCTTGTACATATCAAATGGCTGGTAACCTGGGGCTGATCACACTATCTTGTTACAACTCAAGAAAAGTTCAAAGACAATCTCTTCCACCTTGAATTTCAACTGTCAATTGATTTTAAAATTGCCGATTCAAATATGATAAATAAGCCTTTTTTTTTTCAATCTCCTCCAGGTCACTAACATTTGACTAAAGGGTCTACTAGATGGAATCAAAAATAATTACCAACTACCAGTTATCCGTACATGAGGAAAATGGAAAAAAAGGAGTTGAAAGTGGAATCACGTTCAACAAGAGAAATTGGTGTAGAGCCTCTAACTGAAGAAACCAGCCTCAATGTGCACAACAAGTTATCACTACAAGAACAATTAGTGGGTTGGACATTTAAAGCCAAAAATCGTCAATCCTCCAACTTAACTGACAAGGTACATATAGTTGGTTAATTACATTGATGTTGGTTGAAAGAACTAGATTGATATTTTCGTCAAGTTTTTGTGTTCTCCAAGCTTTGAATGGATTCACATTACTCTAGTAACTCTACAAGTTGTAGTATTTTATCCATGGCCATAGGATGGCTAAGAAAACTTTTCGGTCTGTAAAAGAGTTTGCCAATTTCATACTGTTCCACACTACTAAAGGAGGTTCATCTCATTGCGGCAAGGCAAAAATGATAGGAAAAGAACAGCAAGAAGTATCTCTGGCAGAAGGAAACCAGAATCCACCAAGTATACATGAAACTGTTGTTCCTCGTTGTGATGATGACAATGTTGGTGAAGGTACGTGTCACATTTTTTTTTTTGTACAAATGCAGGATTTAAATTCTTCATTATTGGAATTATAAGTTTGTAATTGACATGCTATATTATATCTTACGTTTAGCATACATTTTAAAAATGATTAATCACTTGCAGGTGATGAAGATGGAATTTACTCTGAAATTTTGAAGTGTCCAATTACAAAGTTGTAAGAATTCCAAATTAATAGAATATGGATGTGTATTTTCGTAGAAATTTATGTTTAGGTGTATAGTAAAAGCCATCTTGTTCCATGAATTGTTATGGAGCATTCTTTTATAATTGAAAAATCTAGTGACTAATTAATGGACAAAATTGACTGCTACATGATAAGGACTTGCGTTGATGGATTGGAGAAACAATCTTTTTCAACCTGAGGAGAATGATGACATCGAATATCTTGACCTAGTCACGTACGGTGGAATTGATTAATAAATCATTTTTTTGGACACAAGAAGTGACATAATAGAACTTAGGGATACAAGTCCCCGAGCACATTAGTTTGCGGTAAAAACTCATTGATTTACAAAAGAATGTTTAGATTGGATTTTCACCCACAAATTTGATGATTCAAAATTGATTGCTGAGAATGGAACGAAAGAAAATTTGAACAACTTTGAAGCTCAATATGTTATTCAATAAAACAATTCATTCAGTACTATGAGTGCTAACTCTTGTTCAAATAGTATGATTAAAATTCAAAGACTAAACTTTATAAAATAATTCCAAACTAGTGTCATTCATTAAACAATATGAACGTGTATTCTATTGTTGAGTAGATTATGACTATTTATCCCCGTTCACATGCCATCTTCTATTATTGTATCGATCATGAGTTTGATTTTTAGCAATTCTATAGTGGGATAGCTAAATCTTAACACGTGAATTATCAATTTATAAAGTTCATCGCTCCTACATCTGGTGGTGATGGACAATGTGATCTGTAGGTCAAGTTGTTTCGATTATTTAATTATTTACGATTCAGATTAATATCTTGACTTAATTTCTTTTTTATAAAAACTAGTATGTTCATATATTTCTGCTCCATAAAATGTTTAAAAGATATTTTTGGTCGATATTTTGATTTTTACGATTAACTTTGTTCCATTTCATCAGGGAAATAATCTCGACAGGAATTGTTTAGGGGAAAAAAAAATAATAATAATAAATAACACCTGACAGAAATTGCCCTAATTGGTATTATACTATAAATTGTGTCGGTAAAACCTAAGTTTTGGGACCATGATGATGTCACATACACAGTGACCGAACATGAGATGGCACCCCATCACAAAACCTAAGCACCTTTCTCTTTTCTCCCTTCCCTATTTAACTGATCGTCACGAACAAACCCATCACACACACACACTCACTCACTCACACACACACACACACACACACACTCTCTCTCTCTCTCTAGAGAGTAAAGGCAGGAAAAAATGTTTGGACACACACACAAAATCCCCATTAATCCACAACCCGCAGCCACAGGATCCAAGTCCAACATAATCTTCATTCCTCAGTTTGACTGTTTTGCTGTTAATGGCGTGCTGTGTCCCGAGCCGATTTCTTGGGTTCAGCCAAACCAAACACCCGCAGAGATGGAGATGGAGGTATACGTTTACATTTTTATTTTTTATGTTTCTTTTGTTTTGTTTTGTTTTTTGTTTTGTTTTTTTTTTTTGTTTTCTGCTTATCTGTTTGGAAATTTATGTCAGTCGATAGCTCTGCCATGACTTTTGTAAATGTAGCTAGGCTTACGATGTTTAGAAATGTTGAAATTTTAGCTAGGGTTAACAAAAATGACTTGAAGAATCAAATCATAAATCGCTGGGATTTTTAAGCTTGGTTTCATTTTATTTTTCTTTTAAATTAGTTATATTCGTTTCAAATAATCTAGAATTGAATATAACATTTTGGATTTAAAATTCATCCATAGTAGAGTTGTACAAAGCTTCACCCGATTTTTTTTCCGCGCTAAAATACCATTTAAATTTAAAAATTCGTTAAATTAACGGTATTGAGAATTCAATTTTGAATTTTATTGCCTAATTATGTTGAAAGAATTAGTGTCATAACTTTGTGATAGATGCACACTAAAAGTCTCGTGCTCATCTATACAAGGTAATAATAAGTAAATAAATACAAGATCTAATAGGATAAGAAGAAAAACTAGAAAGGGAAATCTTTTACTCTCTATAAATTTGTTGTTTTTATTGTTAATCAATATGAAATAGAAAGTAGTGAACATTGCTTCTGGATTAGATCATGCCTTCAATACCATTTACTAAGAAATTAATCAGCAATACAACAGAGAATCAAATTGTCATAAATCTGAATGTTTGAATGAAATTATAAATATTATTTCTATTTCCTCTTCATTTTATCTTATTAAACTATTTGTTTTTGTGTTCCAAAAAAATATGTGAGTTTTTGTCCAAACCCCCATGATGTTGAGTATTTATTCATAACAAACTAAATAAAAAGGAAAACAAGATTAGGAGGGGAACATATAGCTTAACCTCCGCTTCATACAAATACAAATTGAAAAAATTTAACCATACTAGCAAACGCATAATTAAACAATAAAAGAAATAAGACGAATATCTCTTGTGACTCATCATTATCATGCGACCTCATGGTTATTCTCAGAGTCTTTACCAGAGTCAGAGTTCATCAATGTTTGACTATAAACCATTTAAAATGAGGCTAATCCCTAGTCGATATTCTTGTTCATGTATTCAAAAAACAAAGATCTTGAAATGTAGAAACAAAAATATTAGCTCTTGTTCTGGACCCCGTATAAATAGATGGGGAGTCAGCTTTTACCATGCAAATTCTATTCCTACATTGCTCATATCTTCAACAATGCAACCTTCAACTGGATGAATGCCACTGGCTAATTAGTTTCCTTGTTACATATCAAATGGTTAGTAATCTAGGGCTCTTCTTTATTTCTTGAAGACACTATCTTGTTAGAACCCGGAAGTATTTCAAAGGCTGTCTCTTCCGCCTTGAAGTTGTTGTCCATTGATTTTAACATTTTGTATTCTGATATGATCAATAATCCTATTTTTTATTTGAATCTCCCCAAATTCACTAACATTAGACTAAAGGGCTTACTAGGTTTTTTACCCGAGTACTATGAAATTCTAGGATTTTAGTTGTTAGTAGACATTTTTGGGGATGTTTTCTTGGAAATTGTTCTTGAATTGGCTCCAGATATTTTCCAAAAATAAAATCTCTTCTCAAATCTCTCTCACAGTCAATCAAAGACTTTCTTTCTATGTCTCTCACTCGCTGCTCTTGTCATTTTTCAACTTTGTTAGGGTTTCAGTTCACAACTATTATAGTCTAGGAGTTTCCCCCGTGCAGGTGTAAAGAATTCATTTGGAGTTGTTTTTGATGTTTAGGCCAACAAGGAACATGTGTAGAGTATTAGTAATACAGTACATTTCTGCAGGAGCAGGCAAGAGCGAGTTTTGCCGAAGAAAGAAAAGGAAATAGGAAACGGACTAAATCAGAAGTAGTTAATGTTGAAATGATGACCTTCCAACTTTTTAAATCTCCAATTATGGACAAAGAATGTTATATTTTACAAATGTACAAGGTACGTATCTTCATTCCACTTAAGTTGGCATATCTGTTCTACATATTTCTATGACCTTGACATATCTATTCTAAACGTTTACTTTGTTCTAATAGTTCTTACTGTATAAATAGATGGAATCAAAAAATATTACCAACTACCTGTTATCCGTCTACGAGGAAAATGGAAAAAAGGAAGTGAAAGTAGAATCCCGTTCAACAGGAGAAATTGATTCAGAGCCTATAACAGAAGAAATCAGCATCAATCTACACAACGAGTTATCACTGCAAGAACGATTAGTGGGTTGGACATTTAAAGCAAAAAAACGTCAGTCCTCCAACTTAACTGACAAGGTAGCTAATTACATTGTTACACAAAGTACATAAATATCCTATTATAATTCTTGATTTTGGTTGAAAGAACCAAATTGATATTTTCATCATGTTTTTGTGTTCTCCAAGCTTTAAATAGATTCAAATTACTCAAGTAACTCTATACATTGCAGTATTTTATTCATGGCCATGGGAAGGCTAAGAAAACTTTTCGGTCTGTGAAGGAGTTTGGCAATTTCATACTTTTCCACACTACTCTAGAAGGTTCATCTCATCGAGGCAAGGCAAAAATGATAGGAAAAGAGCAGCAAGAAGCATCTCTGGCAGAAGCAAACGAGAATCCAGCAAGTAGACATGAAATTGTTGTTCCTCGCTGTGATGAAGACAATGTTGGTGAAGGTATGTGTCACATAAACTTTTTGTTTGTACAAATGCACTTCTATAGAAGGTTCATCTAATCGAGGCAAGGCAAAAATGATAGGAAAAGAACAGCAAGAAGCATCTCTGGCAGAACAAAACCAGAATCCAGCAAGCATACATGAAATTGTTGTTCCTCGCAGTGATGAAGACAATGTTGGTGAAGGTATGTGTCATAATTTTTTTTTTTTGTACAAATGTGGGATTTAAATTCTTCCTTGTTGGAATTATAAGTCTGTAATTGACATGCTATATTATATCTTACGTTTAGCGGACATTTTAAAAATGATTAACCACTTGCAGGTGATGAAGATGGAATCTTCTCTGAAATTTTGAAGAGTTCAATTACAGAGTTGTAAGAATTCCAAATTAATAGAATATGGATGTGTACTTTCGTTGAAATTTTATGTTTAGGTGGATAATAAATGCCATCTTGTTCCATGAATTGTTATGGAGCATTCTTTTATAAACCCAGTGGAACTTTCTTAATTCTTTACTACATGTCCTTCCATAGAAGATTTACAGATTGAAGAATGAAGACAACCCCGCCCTCGTCCCGGTACACTTCTAAATCGCAAAACTGAAGCAAAAGTGTATGAATCATACTATGCAACACGGCTAAAGGAAAAACTTTTTAAAGTAGTTAAATATTTTTCCGAGTTAACTCTTCATATTTATTTACTCATTTTTAGTTAAAGGATACTGGAGTTATGGGCGGTCGTCATATGGCACGCGTTGACAACTGTCTTTGAAGGGGTGTGTCTTATGTTGTAAGGGGTTAGTTGATTTTTTCTTTTTCTTCCAAGTTAAAAAATTAAGGACAGTGCAGATTTATATTATTTGAAACAAATTAAATGCTATAGAAGTCATAGGAACTATACAATTGTATGACTAATAAACTTACAAAATTATCAAATCTAATAGTCTTTAAAAAATTCAAAAAGTAGAAAAATAATTGGAAAAATGGAGTGTATCCACCAGCTATTCAGATTCCATTAGAACTTGATGTAAAATAGATGACCGATTGGATTAAGGAACGCTTGGATCGAAAAGGGAAAAAAAGTAAATTGCAAATTGACGTTCGAGCTCCAATTTAAGCACTTAATACCTTTTCGAAAAGGAAATGATGAGTTGGATTGAACCCACTGCTTTGCTTTGCTTTGACTTATGGTGGATTTTAGCCATCCAAGTTCTTTTAGGACTTGAAAACTGCCCTTTTAAATTTTAATGATATTTTTATCATTTAATTTATTTCGTATTCTTTACAAAGGAAAAATATGTAAAAACACACTTTTAAGTATACCATTTCACATTTAACAAACTCATAAAAAAATTTCATAAATCAGGTGCTAAATAATAATATTATATATGTTAGGTTTTTTAATGTAATTGGCAAGTCTGTGAATAAAAGGGACTAAATTTAAAATGTTGTAAAAGTCAAGGAGCAGGTTGCAAATAGTAGAAATTGAGTTATATTAGGTTTAGGGTTCGAGAATGAAAAAGAAAGAGAAACGGCGCCTCAATTTCGTCAGATTATCGCCATGACTTGGCTCGAGCGTCGAAAATAGTAACAATGTCACTAGCCTGTCGCTCGCCTGTGTTTTTCGAGCGACAGGGTTATTCGAAGAATTCTTAATTCCTTTTTTTAGGACTTTTTATCTGGCTCATTCATTCCTTAACCTACATATAAATAACAGAACGTCTCTGAACGATTTTTGACAAGGTTGAACATTAAGAAAACATATACTCTCCATATCATTTTCATCAAATTAGCTTTCAACCTTCGTTCCGTGATTGGTTCTTGGTAGTGAAAACATCAAATCCACAATTCAAATATCAAACTGCTACTTTCTACATATCTGTCAAATTCTCAAGATCAAGGGAAGCCATCCGATGACCTCAAAATTTGTAGCCATCTATGGAGGTAGAGGTGGAGACGGAGTTCCAATGCACAAAATGGACTCGTTGGCAACGAGTGGAGGTAGACCCAGTTTGCTCGGTGGCGGAGATACGATTCCTGATTTCTGTTTGTTTGTAGAGAGAGAAGGAAATTGAAGATTGAGAAAGAAATGGTAGGAAAAAGAGAGAGAAATGGAAGATAATGTGTAGAAAGGACATAATATTAGAGTGAGAAAGTGGTTTGAAAAATATGGTAATTATCCTTATTTAGTTAACTTTAATTTAGAAAATTAATTTCTAAACTTTTGATAATTTAGTTATATAAATATTAGAATTTATATTTTAAAAAATCTAATTAGCACCTAATTTCTGAAAATAAATTTAATTGACATGATTAATGATAATCAAATTTTAAATATATGGTTTTGCTTAGTTTTCCCTAGTAAATTTTAGTTCCTTTAAGCTAGGTTTTTGTTTAAACCCTTAAAAATAGAGGTTAATTCTTTGGTTTGGGGCACCTTTGAATTAATAAAACTTCTTGATTTTATTTTTCATTCTCTGGTGGATTCCAGACTTTTGCTCTTAAGATTTTCGCTTAAATTTCTTGTTTTGCGTTGCATCAGAACTCCAATCAATCTGAAGATGCATATGCTGCTCTTCCACTTCACTTATTACGTCTTCACAACATATACATATCTTTGTGCATACATTTAAAGTGCCATTTTCAAATCCTCCATTTTCTTTCTTGAGTTCTCCGGTTCCACTTCCCACAAAGATATTTTGAATGCCACCTGTTGAATTTAATTAGTTGAGTAATTTAATTTTCGTTATATGTGGCTTTAAGGTCTTGTTTTGGAGTAAATATAAGCAATTTAAATTATAAATAGATAAAAACGAATGAGTAATATTTGTGGGTCCATCGAAATATATAGATTTGATATTATGTTTATAAATTGAATTGTTGCCAAAGAAGTGCTTTGTCCAGTGAAGTACTGAACCTAGTTTGATTACAAGTTTTAGTTTATAAATACTTTGTTGAGACAGTAATGTGTAAGGTTAACTTGAGGGACATGTAATTATAGCCAAGCGTGTGAGATTTTAGTATATGCTAGATTGCACCCCAAACGGTTGAAAAATAATCAATGGTGGCTACTATACATTTTACTAGGATGACAAATGGGTAGAACTGCTCCTCAAATCTCAGCTTGATCAGCTAATGATTGCTTGAGCTCGTATTGAGACGAACCATAACTCAAGTCAAGCGCAAATTTTTTTCAAGGGCCTAGGGAGATCTGGTCCTCAAGTCGGCTCATATTAAGTTCGTGGGGTCGAGTTCATGAGGCGACTCGTGGCTCATGGGCGTGTGACCTTTTGGCCACCAAACAATCCAAAAATGACTGTTTGGACAAAATGGTCAAATTTTTTATTTTTTAAGAAAAATTAATCTTTTTTCTATATAAATCCCCTCCTTCAAACTTTACCTTCTCTTTCTACAATTATTATAATTTCATATTATCTCTTTTATTATACAAAATCTTGAGCTTTATTGTCTCTAAAACTTCTTATTCGTTCAATTTTAATATAAATTATATTATTCTACTTCTTTCTTTCATATATTGTTTCAAATGAATTGCAACATATTTTTGAAAATTTGGTGACTTCAATCAAATATTTGGTGTTTCCAGCACACAACTACTTTGACATTAGATCACGATTTTAGTGGTTCAAATGATGTTTGCATTTGGCGATATTTGATAAGTGTATTTAAGCACGTTTGTCTGTACTATTAAACTTGATAAATAATCACTAATTGAACAAATTTCTACCTAGTTTAATGTAAAATATGAATATTGTAGGTAAATCTCGCACTTGGAGATATTTTGAGCAAAAAATAAAGATTTTTAAGGTAATTTTGAGTTTATTCGAAGCAATTGAAAAGTAACCGAATCATATGAGATCGATAAGGAGTAGTAAGAGAACAATCAGATGAAAGTTGCATCTTTTGAGAGCGAAATTCAACTTTCAGAAGTTTGGGAGACTAAATTGTACACTTTAGAACTTTTGGAGGACTAATTTCAAATGATTATGGAGGATCCTGTATCAACGTGGAAACATTTGGAAGTTCTAGAATCAATATTAAAAAAGGATCAAACTCGGATGAAAAAATTGAAATAGGTTACAATGCGCAACAATAAGAAAGTTGAGAGACTAAGTTGGACATGTTGAAAAGAACAAAATTACCAAAATTAAATTGACAGACAGTTCATGGACCTGTTTTGCAATTTAATGTCAAAACATGCGTTAAAGGAAAATATTTGTTGGCCATAAATTTGAGATCCAAAAAGGGGAGTAATTCTCGGTAAAAATTTTGAGAAATTTTTCATAATTCAAGATTTTTTATCTGAACATATTCCTTTCCTAAAAACATGCTTGGAGCTGACGTCTTCCTATTTAACGTCTCTGAGAATATGGAAGAATAAATCTTGGCTCTATGAATTCATCATTATATCCATATGTTTTCCGATCGCAACATCACATGTGAATTTGTGACATCTTATATTGATGTTTCTATATTCGTGAGACTTGCAAAATTGTAGCTAGATAACATGTTTAACATAAAACTGAATTACAATAATGTGGTAAATCTAGTTTAACCGTGTGACATCCGAGTTCAAACAAATACAATTCTTAATTTTTGTTAATTCGTTTTCACAGTTTAGCCTCGGTCGGTCCGGTTGGCAATTTTTGTTTTTTTCATTATATTTATTTTTCTCGATCCATTTTAATTTCTTTTTGGAGCACGACTTCCGATACACTCTTGTCACTATATAATGATCTCGTCTAGGTCAAATTAAAGGGGTGACGAAGTATTTCAAAACAAAAAAATTCGAGAGAAATCAAGAACTACAGATTTTAAGATTGAACATCAAAGAAGGTTATTCTTAGTACAAGATCGTATCCATCAAAATCTAGTGACATACTTTAATTTTTTTTATATTTTTGTTCTCCCATGATGTATAATTAGGGATGGCGAAACGGCTTGACAGCTCATCTTGGGAAAGCCCCAATCGAGCCGGCTCGTAGCTCGGAACCACTGAGCCCCATTTTGGGGCAACATCTCGAGCCCAAGCCAGCCCATGTGGCTCGACGATTTTAATTTGAAGCTCGGGCAAACAAAAAAATAAAAAAGGAACGGGCTCAGCTCAGCCCAACCCTCTAAAGCTTGAGTTGAGCCTTAATTTTTTTACCGAGCTTTTGCTTTACTCAGCTCGGCTCGGGCCAAAAAAACTCGAACATTTTTATACATGGCCAACCTTATTAAAGCAGACAAAGACACTCCAACAATCCCCACAAATGAGTAGGTACTTTTACATAGTTGTGTCAAAGAGTCGAGCCCAAGTTTTGAGTTTCGACTCATGGCTCGGCTCAACTCATTGGCACGACTATGTAAAAGTATCTACTCATTTGTGGGGGTTGTTGGACTGTCTTTGTCTGCTTTATTATGGTTGGCCGTGTAAATTCATTAGCTTAATCACGAAGAATCAACAAATGAAAAAAAAAATTAAAAAATATATCAAATTAAATAAAGTCAGCAAATAAAGTACAATATGAGTGGTTGCAAGTTGCTTTGGTCCTTCAACGAGAGAGAAAAAGGTTGTAGTGCATTAACGTTGTTCACATTCTTGACTCAAAAATCTCATCTTGAAAGTCTGTAAAACTTTTCTTGTATAAATCTTAGAGCATGTCTGGAGAAGATTTTGGCCAAAATTTTTGAGCACTAACGTTGTCCACATTCTTGACTCAAAATTCTCATCTTGAAAGTCTGTAAAACTTTTCTTGTATAACTCTTAGAGCATGTCTGTAGAAGATTTTGGCCAAAATTTTTGTGATTTTTAGACCGTTGAGGTCAACAGCTGGACCCCACATGTCTCAAAGTTGGTCCAAAATGGTTGCTGAGTGCCCAGCTATCGGTTGAAAAATTGATGAAAATCCTCCAAAAAAATCACCACCGGACAAGCTCTTAGACATTTGTGCCCCCATGGGCCACACTAATTTTAATCGTGATTTATTAATATTACAGTGATTAGCCATTAACACTTGATACATTTGGCTTTCAAGTGCTCTATTCAAGCATTAATAAAATCCATTAATGAGTTTTTCTTTGAAACGTACCTTTTAAAAAATGAATGAGAATTTTCTGCTATTTGACTGCTCAACATTCTTGCTGCAAAAATATATTTAACAAATGCAGAGACCCATCTAGCACACATCTCATATATTTGTTTAAGCCAATCAATATTTATCAATTTGGTAGATTGCAACGTATCTTTCCAACTTGTTTCAAACTCTTCACTAGTCTCGGAATGTATAATAATGTTCCTCATCAAATGATAGTTGGTCTATGATGATCTTGTGGGGTGCACCCTTAGGCATAGTATTCAACCAACAATTAAATAATCAAACAAATGACTCACCGTCTCGTCACTTCAAAAAGTACATCTAAGTCCCTGTTTGAACCACATTAAAATTTTCATTCTTATTTTTCTACTCATTTTCAACCACATGTTCTTTAATAAAAAATATTTTCCATAACATCAATAATTTTTCATTCTTTTTCAACCATACATTCTCCACCAATTTACTATTTTAAAATATATTTTTCCAAAATAATGTGGCTCAAACACACCATAAATATTATTGTTTGGCCATGATGATTGACTCCGGTCAATGGAGCAAAAATCATCTCATATCTATTTGTGTAGCATGTAGTATCGAAAATAGTTACATCACAAAAACACCTAATCAATCTTTATTCATTATCTCTATCATAATCAAAGTAAAAACTTGGATTTTTTTTTTCTTTTTCTAATATAAAATATTCAATCACCGACTTAGCATCAATTCCCTTCATTTCTTCTCTCAAATCTCTTTCATAGTTTCTTATTTCACTATCAGTGCATCCAATATTTTGAGGACCACCCTATCTAATCTCCATCAAACTTATTTGTTTACTAGTCAATACATTTGCTTCATAACAAGGCTTTTTTTCGTTTAAGAAACCAATTTTTTTTTCCAGGAATGTTAAAATAAATATGTAAATGTAACTTATATCTTCATTCGCAAAATCTTCCATCTACGATTATATGAGAGAACCAATTAGTGGTCAACAATTTATAAATGTAATGTTAGTAAGAATATTGTATATATTTTTTAAAAAAGTATATAAATTGTATATAGAACTATACATTTGTAAATATAAGATACTTTACATTTGCCGAAAGAGTAATAGAAAAATGTAACCCAAAAAGGTAAAAGTAAGAGGAGAAAATAACCTTAAAAATGAAACAAATTAGGCACTTAAATAAAAATTCCTAACTGGTTTTATTTGTTCAGATATTGTTATTTCATGATCCAATTCAAGATCGTGGAGGTAATTCATATATTGAATTTACAAGCAAAAGATTTATCATCTCTATAGGATTAAATCCCGAACTATAAGTCAAAAAAGAAGCAATTCCATGGCTCTCTCTTCAAAAGATGAAGTCACTCAGCTGCACATATTTCTTATTCTGGGCATGTTTCTTCACAACATAGGCACTGTCTTCCACAATTCCCTGGCTCTCTCTTCAAAAGATGAAGTCACTCAGCTGTACATATTTCTTATTCTGGGCATATTTCTTCACAACATAGGCACTGTCTTCCACATCTGCACTCAAACAATTCATCCTGTGCCTGAGGCAGCATGTGCATTGCAAAATGTTTCAATTCAGATACTGAAAACGAGCACGATATACATTCATGATGTAGTAACACATACTAACCATTCAAAATGATCCTCACAACAAATAGAATTCCAAATGATCGAAAATCCAGATCCTTTCCTACAAGTGAAAATGAGCTCAAATGAAACCTAGAACGTGCAACTTAAACATTATGAATGAAGCATACGTCAACAAGGAATAAGAAAATCCACTTCCCTTGCAGGGAAGAGGATAAGAATATTTTCTCTCAGAAGAATAGTAAAATGAATTTCTCCCCTTACCATGTTGCAGTGTACATATCATAGAACTTGTCAAATGCTTTATTGAAACAATATTGACAAGCTAAGAGATCCTTGATATCAGTCACCCTGCATGTTGATTTACAGCATTTGACCTGTATGAAGTACATCAGATTCTTAACATATTTCATTTTAGAACTTTACAATTTGTACCGAACCAAAAAGTCAATCTTCAATTGTTTCATGTGTCGTGAGTCCAGCTTTCCCTCTCCAATGAACCCCAAAAAGAAACAAATGAAGAAGAGAAGATTTAGCCAATTCACTCCCAAGCCATCCAAAGATAATATTTCTAACTTTACCACTAAACTAAGCATTGCTTTCAGATGTTCTGAAAGAACTAAATCAATCACCTAATTCTCCCTAACTAATTAATGAGAAACATTTACTTATATAAAGAAGCAAATGGATGCGTAAAACCATTACCAGACGCTTTAGTTTATATGAATAATATTGCCGATGAGACGGTTGCTCCTTGATATGTTCACTCAAATGCCCTGCGCTGCATATATTCATTCAGATAATCAATTAGCATATTCTATACAAGTGCATGTTTAAGAAAAATTATAATTTCATGATAATTTAAATCGAAGTCAAACATTGATTTCAATTACACTCACAATTACTACCCACTTATTATTCATATATTTCGTAGGACCCATTACCCCTTTTCATTATAATCCAATTTTAATTCTCCCAAACAAGCACTAATTACCCAAATGAAAGTGAAAAATATCATGTATTAAGTTTATAGCAGCTATGGAGAATTAAAATCATGATCTACAAAAAGATGTCCAAACATATATATCCAGCATTGACGATCAGAAATAGATCAAAAGGTTGTCCAAACAAATATTTTCAGCAGTGATGATCAGAAATAATGTACCATCAATGAAAGATATAAAGATTGTGTTTGTGTCCAGTAGTTTCATTTTAATATGGGTAAATTTAGGGCTGGACTCCCCAATCTTTCAAGTGAAGCAGATACGAGCCCCCAAACTTCAAAAGTGAGGTTTTGGCCCTTTTGGGTCCCCAACCTATTTAAATTGGCGAATTTGGGTCCATAAGTAACCGAAACCATCAGCATAGACGTTAAAATCGCACACAACTTTCATATGAATCATAGCTAGAAAATTGTCAAACCACATAACATCTATCTCTAGTTCCATTGAAAATCGCATGCGTGTTTAACATCTATATTGACGATTTTAGTCAAGTGAAGACCCAAATTCACATATTGAAATATGTTGGGACCCAAAACCTCACTTTTGAAGGTTGGAAAACCAAAACCTGAAAGGTTGGGGAGTCTAGCCCTAATTTACCCTTTTACTATAGAATCCCCTCTATTTTTGTGCCTTTAGTAGGTCTAGTATTTCCGGCAATTGGAAAGCATTAGCTGCCCGTTCTCAGGTTGGGCGGTAAGGGTCGAAGAGCAAAGAACATATAGCACCGTATAGCCTACCTCGATGTATTAACACTTAAACCAATTTATCTCGTTATACAAATTGAATAAATACCTGAAGTAGTATCCATAAGAGCATTTCCAATACTCTCTATTTTTAAAGAGCATATTCTATCATTTGAAAAGCATCTATAAATTTAGAGAGTTAAAATTTTAAAGTACTCCAACAAGCTCTTTATATTTAACACTAAATATTACTACTCCCAAAAAATATTTATTATTTTTGTTTATCTTTTATTTTAACTAGCTTTTCTTTAGATTATTTTATTGTTTTCCTACATTGAAAATTGAAACACTTTGAATACATTTAATTATAGAGAGTGAGTTTCCAAATTTGGGAAGACAAACCCTCTTTAAATAATTAAAATGTTAATTTAAAGAGTCTCTTTGAGCATGATTTTAAATGTTGACTCTTTAAAATAGAGAGCATCTCATGTTTAAAGAGTCTCTTGGAGATGCTCTAAAGTTTCTCAAACATTGGCCAGAATCTACCACCCAAACACACCTTACTAACAGCAGCAAAACAGCAGACAAGCACCTAAAAGGCTAAAACCAATTGAGACTTTTTCCAGTTAGATTAAAGTTACTCTCATACTATGGAAAACATTTAAAGCCAGAAACTAATTAGGACAACAGCAGATATGCAGCAGCCCACTAGCCCTGGCAAAGAATGAGAAAATTAATAACAGAGTGTAAAAGCCTGTCACCCATTGTGTTATTTCAATTTGTCAAGGAAAATTAAAGACTACCAAGTTTCGCTTACCTATCACAAAAAACATTATCACAGTCAAGACACGTGGCTAAAGTTGTTGACCTACAGCACGAGTTGCATTTTGCAGCCAAGAAGTTTTTTCCAATCTGGTGGCATCTGCAGAGACAAGGAGACCAGCGTGTACGATTAATCTGAATTTCTGATTTTAATTATTTCACATTTGATATGAATTACATATATGTATCAATCAATTTATTTTCAGGTGTTCAAATGGATTGTTTCATAATCTCCCTCCCACCGGGATTTACAAATATAAAGTAAGCACGACAAAATTGTAAAAAATTAAAATAAAATATGCATTCATTCTGGAAAAGCAGATGGAGGAGGTATTTGAATTGCAATCTATGCAAAGACATACACGGATAAACTAGGTATTGAGCAACCTTTTATATAAATCAAGAAGGTCTCTCGATACATTGTTGGATTTATTTTGAATCACGGCCACCTGTAAAAGGAAGTCAACAGTTATACATTTAAATTACTATTGACCAACAGCAGATCAACTGTGAACTCTTTATTGACATTTGATAAAAGCACCTGATTGTGTGTTTTATTAGAGAGACTGGATTCACCATGAGATGTCATTGCCAAACAATCTTCAGGAAGATGCCCAGGCTTTTGACATTTCCAACTGCAACAGAAAAACATTTTAGACACAACCATAAACCACGACCATAATCATCAACGTTTGAACCATATGGGCAACATCTTAAAATAAAAGCTTCTTTGTGATTAAAAAGTTGTTTTCAAAGCATACATGCTGCGGGGTCAATATATAGTAAAATGTACCATTTATAAGTACAGAGACCAGATATCTTCTTAGACCAGCAATGCCGATCATAATCCCAAGTGTCCCCTCCAGATTCAGGCACCTCCAATGTACATCTTCGTGCAGAGAAGAATTCAATGGGGGATCGGCCACTCAGGAGCCCCTGGAAAATATTATAGAGAAAGGCATTCTGAATTGAAGAAGTAGAATAAAGGAGAAATATATACCTATACATATAACAATGGCCAAATGCAAATAATTAAAACCTGGTGAAGTTGAAGGTTTTGCAGAAGTTCAGCTTTGCAATCCATGCTGCATACATCATCATTCGTCTACATGCAGAACATTCAAAATCATGATCCAGGTAATGAAAAAATTGAAGCATAAAAAGAGTATGTAAACGCAGACATGGAGGTCCTACCTCATTGCATATGTACTCAGCATACTTCCCACATACAACACATACAGGTTCTCCTGGAAGAGGATACCTCTGCTCAGTGCGAGTCTTGATTTGATCTTTTTGGTTTTTGCTACCTGAAGATCATAGAGGCAACAATGATACATCATTATTTACATCAAATTTCTAGTTGTGTACGATTTATGCAAAATATATTTCAGCACATCAGATTTAGCCAGCCCAGCAGGCTAATGATGCTGAAATTATGGAATCAGGAAAAAGAAGAAAGTTCAACTTATTTATTCAATGAACACAAACTAGAGGTTGAAAGTATTTTCATTCACCAGCATTAAGAGTTTGAATAGAAGCCACAAGGTCATAGATTTAAGTCTAAGTATTTTTTTGATAAGTAAAACTATTGGTACTTCGTGGGGCCCAATTTAAGTCTTAAGTATTGTCATTCATGTAGTAATAAGACCAAAGATCAGGTCTGAACCTAGTATACCGCCCCCGCCCCCTGCCTTTCTCGAATCTCTCTTATGGGGAGGTTATATTATTGTGGCTCATTCATTAGCATCAAATAAACACATGAAATATCATACCCTCCCCTTAGAATGTTCACTAGAAAATAGCAACGGACTACACTACCTACAATCTTCAGTCAACTGCAATAAATATGTTCATCTCTGAAAGCAAAAATTTTCTCATAAAATGAAGATAAAACAACCCAACCAGCACTCATCGTGCTCACAGTACGTAAATTTTCATTAAGTAAAGAACAGAGGAGTAACATACAAAGCACAAAACAATCAGCGGGGATCATAATAGGTAACAGACCAGAAAGTGGAAAGTAATGTGCTCCCTCTCTAGCATCAAGTCGCACTTCCGAATTGCTAGGAGGACCTTCATGCTCTTCACATTCTGTAAAAGCATTTTTATAACTTTCATTTACAGATCAATAATTTTGATAGAAATAAAAAGTAGTAAATTGAACGCGAAAAAAGAACAGGAAAATAAAAGCTAATCCTTTGCTCGGAAAGAAAAAGGGACGTAAAAGGGAGAGTATAGGAACGGGATGAGAAATAGACAGGGAAGAAAGAGTGACAACTGCCGGGATTCCTCCTATAATTTGATGATAAGCAACTATCCAATGAGTAGTCATAGAGCACATAAACACACTGTGCTGCAGTTACAGCAACTATTTGAGTATTCGAACTGAAGCTGGACTACATTTAATCAAACTTTATGCATACAGCAAATATAAAAAATTTCGAACACAAGACTGGTCCTCCTTGGCTTTATGGCTTAGTGATTGCGTTTCCAATGTCAAGGTCAGATGTTCAAGAGGACTGATGAGACTGAGTAAACTTCGAACACTACACCAACCCAAGCTTGATATCTTATCATATACTCAATGCTTATAATTTCAATGAAGAAATTGGCTACGATACTTGCTAATTAGTTATGATTTCTTTGCAGTATTTATTTGATTTCCTTGGCCTTTTCCTGTAACCCTGTATTTTGATGTGCACATTCATTCACTCACAGGTCTGCTACACTTGTAATTGCGTGAATATGGCCCATTATACAGTTTAACTACAAATAAGAGTTGTCCTATCAGAAAGACCACCAAATTCAAACATACTACAAGTTTCGTTTTTATTTCAAGAACAGCCTAACCAAATATTAGCTCCCAAGACTTTCCAATACTTAATATTTTCACGGGGAAAAAAAGGACAGAAGATAAAAGAACTTACTTTCATACCCCAGCACATTTGTATCTGAACTTGAAGGTTTCTATAACAATACAACACCAATAGGTATTAATTCAACTAAGCATATCAATCTATTTGTTGATCCAAATTTATACAAACAGCCAGTACCAATATATCTGCGGTTAACTCTTGATAAGGATGAAAAGAGTCAGCTTCTTTCCTGTTCATCCAATATAGTATCTTAATTTTTCAGGGAAAAAAAAAACCTAAATCCCAGGGATATGTCAATTTTAATAAAAGAACTTCATTTCACCTCCACTTTTGAATATACTCCTGGTGAGACATAGGTCCATCATTCTCCTTTACGTCATTCCCTTGATCCACCGGCGGCTGATGGTCACGGCGGCGCTTCCGATGAACAGCGTGGGCCGTTTCTTCAGCCGGAGGAGTATTTCCAGTGGCGACATTGTAAGCTGAAAGAAGAATTTATATATGCAAAACTATTTCCAGATCGCCCACAGCAAACGTGAAAATCCAAAATTAATCGAAAATTTACCTCTGAGATTTTGAAGGACAGAGTTGAGATTGAACTGTTTATTGTAGGCGTAAGAGGGGTTCTTGTAGAAATTCGTCCTCGTCCCCATTACTTGATTGAAATCTTATTGCGATTTGTGACTGACAGTATTTAAAAATGAGAAAATTGCAGCATAACTCCAGACTTATTCACTCTGTACACTTACACCCAGAGTCTAAAACGATATTTGACAATTCTTTAAACAAAAGATATCTCAAATTATTGTACTTTATATTACTCATATAGATAAAACTTAATGGTTGAACAAGGAATGAAAAGAAATAAGCGAAATTGGTAAAAAAAGGGGGCAAAATCTAAAGTTTGAGAATCAAATTGCAAATTCAATAGTGGATTCAGACCACAAGATGATATTTTGAAGATTTTTAGGAGACAATTAGATGGAATTAAAATTCAAAAAGGAATAAATATGATTAAAATCAATTTTCAATCGCATAAGTTATATTTCAAAATTTTTGCCAAATATTAAGACCCATTTTTGTCGTAGTAAACGTCCGAATTGGAAAAATTATACCTCTAGAAAAGTTGTAACCCTTTGAGCTAAATTTCCAACTCAATTTGAATTGCCTCAATCTGATATCGGGAGATAAATTTATAGCCAAAATACTAATTATTGTACAGAGACAAAAAATTCGCTTTCGCAAATAGAAATTTCCTTATTTGATAGAAACTCTTTTGGAAATCAATTTGGATGTGATTTTCAATCAATTTTCTATTCTTACAAATACCTAACAACTGAATACAAATTGGAGACCTCATATATACATCTCATACTTCAATATTCATTAATTATTATCATCAGATGAGGAGAATTCATTATTATTTTTTTAAAGAGAATTGAAGAAGATTTGCAAGAATTCAATCAATTGAAGATTCAAACCTAATTTTTGGACAAAGAAGAGAAGACGAAAATGAAGATTTATCAAGAAACCATTGAATAGATTCGAGATTTTAAGATTCATCTTTATCTTCTCAATTTATCAAAAATTTAAGTGATGTCTTTTCACTTAAATATGATTTCTTATAATTTCAATATGTTAGGTTAATTTTATATATTGTTAGGATGAGATGAACCCTTGTTATGATATTTTTAAATTTTAATTAATTATTTTGACTTT